AATTGTATTTATGGCATATAAAAAGTGGTTGCAATTACCTTTGCGACCACTTTTGCAACCATACTTTTTCCTTTTTTTGATTACAGCGCCAGTCTTTATAATTAGTTAATAATATCTGATATATATCCAATATAAAATTTATTAATAATAATTTTTAAAAATCAGATTTACCTCTTTTTCAATTACAATTAAAAATTTAGCCTGTCTCAAAACGTTTAAATAAATTCTTTATTAGGGAATAATAATGATTGTGATGATAATTATGATGATAATTATGATGACAATAAATATTAATAATAAAGGATATTGTAGTTTAAATCAGGGTTTATTGGAATTATTAATTGGCCACTTGATAATGAACTATTAATTGAAGTATCTAGTACCACCTTCTTATTTTCGAAAATTTTTAAATCTCCTGCTACCAGCCCTTTTGCAGATGCCACCTTTTTTAGTCAATTTAAAAAAAAAATTTTTAATATCCATATATAAATAATATTATTGTTGTAATTATGTTCTTACAATATTTAAATGTGACCTGGAGAGCTTGAACAGAGACATGAGGTCATAGATCACCTTTATTATTAAGCTTGATTAGTATTCTAACCAAAACATACATAATATAATAAATAGATTCTTAAATTATTATTTTTTTACCTCATCAGCAACAGCCTGGTTTTTAAATAATTGTACATCTCTGTAATACACATCACTATTAACCATATTATATATATACAAAGGGGAAAGTACTATTTTAGCTTTCTTCCACTTTTTCTTTCTTCCATTCCTAAAAATAATATAATAACTCCTTACCGTTTAGTTGCAAAAGTGTTTTTTGTTAAAAGCTCATGACAAATATGAAGTATTTTGTCAATTATGTCAAGTATTTTTTTTGTTTTCTTAAAAAATCGCCTATTTCATTGTTATCATCAATGTTAGTGTTATCATCAGTGTTAATGTTGTCATCAGCATTAATGTTCTCCTTTTCTTTCAATTTTTTTATCTTTTGATCATGGATTTGATTTTCTGCACTGATGAATTTCTAAAAATAGTTGTATTGAAATTAATAATATTTACTACCATTGTTTTTGATAATTGATCAAGAAATTACCTCATAGTACTTGTAACACCATTATTATCAGGCACAAATGAGTATATATGTTTCTGCAGCCTTCATTTGTAAAATTTCATTATTTTTTTCTGAAACCTGTTCTTCCAAATTTATAACTTCTCTTCTTTTATTTTCCAATTAATTTGTTACCTTGGTCAAATGTCTTTTTAAATTTTTAATTTCTTCTTTGTAAGAGGAAGTTAAGACCTGTGGGTTGGAAATTTAATTGATATCAAAAAGTACAAGCTCATTAAAACAAAACAGTCACTATTATCATTTATTACTTTATTTGTTATATCGTTTTCGCTTGCAATGTTACATCTAAGTAAATAAAAGAGGACAAATTTTAAATTTAGCTGCCAAGTATATAGATTAACTAGAATGACAACCAGTTGCAAATGTATCGCAACTATCACTATCATTCTTTTTTTAAACTAGAGTGACAACGAGTGGCGGGCGATAACCACCACCATCCTTAAAACACTTACTTGTATGTATCTTTGGTTTCTTTTCCTTTGGTTCTTTTGTTGATGTTTCTCAACATGTTTTTTATTAAATTTAAAAAAAAAAAAGTTATTAAATTTAAACACATCAATTCGCATCTGTCCTACCAAAAAAAACCAATAGTAATAGGATAAATAATTAATGATTTTTTTTGGAAAAACAATTTATTTTTTGACAGAGTCCATGGTGACAAAACGTGAGTGTTGTTATTTGGTTTGGTTTGGGTCTCCTAAAGAAGAAGTGTTAATAACTAACCAGAGGTACTATTTTTTATTTGTATTGATTGATATTTTTATTTTAGTTTATAAATATATATTATTGGAATCAAAATGCAGAGCCTAAAACCTTGATACTTGAATCATGAGCAAACAATATATAGGTTATGAAGGTAAGCTTGCTAGATTCATAGTTTTACTCTCACTGATGACTTCTGACTTTTGTTATTGGATTTTCTAGCCATTAATGCATGCTTCTGTGATGCAATCGACACCATAAACACTTACCCTCATTTTCTTTTAAAGTTGCAAGATGTTATCTTAGAGTCTCCACCATTTACTGAAGATTGGGGTGGACTTGATGGAATATGGTACGAAAGATATATAAGGGAAGCAAAAAATTCTAATAAAAAAGTATGGAAACAAAAAACAAGTGGGAGGGCACTTCAGATTGTTATTATATGGTTTGATATGCCATATAGAGCGATTCAGAGGTTTTGCTGGAATTTTTCAGTGCCCAAGTGATGATGATGGTACACTTCTGGGTTGTTATTATATGATTTGATATGTCATATAGAGCAATTCAGAGGTTTTTCTGGAATTTTCAGTGTCCACTCATTGTGATCCACCAAATATTCCTTTTATTATAAACTATATCTGCTTTTTATATGTCTTTGGTTTTTGATACTGTTAACATTTTCTTTATAGAGACATCCACATGTGTCTATGAAATCATTTTTTGAAAATATCATATGGGAACATAAAAAGGTTAGCATAGTTTATGTATTATTATCATCATACTTATGAAAAGATTATATACATGCAGTGCTAAAAATTATGGTGAAAGTATATTGCTCTGCTATCAGTAGAAGTTGACATTGTTAAATAGAATACTGACACATTTTCTCTGTTGACACTTACTACATTTCCATTATTGACATAGCGAATGGTCCAGAATCATTACATGATGTCCAGCATAGACATATTAGATGAAGTGCGAAAATGTGGTTCTCAAGAAATAATTTCAGATATTGAAGAAGCTATTAAAACAAAATCTACAAAAGGACATTTTAAGAACAGTGGAGCTAATAAAAATTCTGTAAGTATTTGATACCTTGAAGCATCAGAATTGATACAATTGGTAATTTATACATATTATTTGTCTATCTCATAGGCAAGTTCAGAAAGAATGCTTACACCAGAGTGCACTGATGATGACAACCTTAAAGAGATGACTGCATTAGATTATGAAAAATATAAAAAAGCCTATGCTAAAATGAATAATGAAAAGAAATGGATGCTTACAACTGGAAAGATTATAGAAGATGCTCTTTACAATTTCAGCTTGCATTGCAAATATGAACAGTAAATTTATATTTAAACAATAAGCCTATATTCTTCAATATATAAAAGCTCACTCATATTTTAATCCTTATATAAAAAAAGCTTTGCTCATTCCTTTGTTCTGAACCCTGAAGACAATACCTATCTGAAAGAGAATGTTTTTACTGAGAATGAATTACAAGAGATTCGTCATTTTAAAACCAAGGAAATGCCATTAATGCCTCTTGAATTGTTGAAATACTTGAATAGTTTCAACCTTGTAAGTTTTACTTTTTTTTATGTATCAAACATTTTGCTTATTTTACTGATAACAAGTATATTATTTCAATAGAAAACTACTTTGGAACTCCGGAAGCAAGTGTTTAGGCATGAGCAAATGGATGATGATTTCAATAGATTAAGAGATTTTGACCGAGATTGGATACACAACACAGTATACAATTTGTATGTAACTAATTTCATTTCAAAGATTTTGGATTCTAAATTTCAACTCTCATTACTTTCATTTCACAGATTGCAAGAATATAAATCAAATAATTTGGCATCAAACCATTTAGAGCTGTGGTTCCTCATCCATGTTTGGAGTTTCACTGACAAAATTTTCAATGATATTGAGGGAATTGATGTAGTAAGGTGAATAAAGAAAAACTTCTGATCTGTTCTTTTCTTTCTATAGTCTAATCATTTTTACAATAGAGGAGGGTCATGTAGCTTGTCATCATCAACAAGAAAAAATCAGGAAAGAACTGTGGCTGCAGTAGTGGATACAAAAAAAAATGCTTAGGAGGAGAGGTGACCTTATAATTCATAAGTTTACAGCAGAGTTTGGGTGTGCAGAAGTAGGGTTTGTATTCACGGATACCGTAAGGAGGTCACACATGGTTACACACTATTAAAATCAAGTGTTTTAAAGGGATTTTTTGCTGATTTATTAGTGTGTAACCCCTTAACAGTATTCATGGTATCCGTGAATACAAACCCTATGCAGAAGCAGGCCAACAATTTGAGGGACAGAATGGTACAAAGTTGCTGCAGGAAAAGGGCTTAAAAATGCCTAAGATGTTGAAAGATATGTTTGATCAGCTTTGTATGATTGTTGAACAAGATGAATGTAAAATTCGCAAATTGGAAACAATTGGATTCCTCCATTCTGGTATATTTTTAACCTAGCACTCAATACCTTCATCTGCCTTTGTTGCTTACTTTTATTGCATTTTTCTAGGGCTTGTGATGCCAATTTTACATATGGACTCACCAGCAGGATATGTATGTCGTGTGTTGTAAAGACTAGTGCCATAAATTATTATGATGGTAGTAATTGTATTTACAGCATGTAAAAAGTGGTTGCAATTACCTTTGCAACCATACTTTTTCCTTTTTTGGATTATGGCACTAGTCTTTAGTGTGTTGCACATGAAATCTCTTTCTATTGCAACACATGTTAGTGAGTTTGGAAAAAACACACTTCCTGTAATTGCCATGGCATGGAAGGCTAAAGTAAGTAATTATATATGATTTTCAATCACTGTTCCCTGTATCTAACAAACTAATTCACACAGAAATACAATTTTTTTGATTGACCAAGCTGATGACAGTGAAGAAGATCAACTACAATGCCTACAGGGTGCCTGCGATACAACTCCACCACCACTACAAAAACGAAAAAAAGTGTATTTGCCAACATGTTTGGACACTCCATCAAAACCATCAAAAAGAATCAAGGAGACTCTATTCAGTATGTATCTATTATATTATTTTACTTTGTATGAAAAATTCAATATATATTTTTGTATTTTGCATTAGATCCACTTAGGTCATCACTAGCAAGTAAAACATGAGAGGAATTCACTGACATCAATGCTCAGGATAATTAGGTATTTTTATGGAGGAATAATGGAGAATGAAAATATGGTAATATCATGGTTAAGATTTTTAATAAAGAAGTAGACTGTTTATACCATGTTTGTAGCTACATATGCTAAATAACTTGATTTTTTTGGATTCATACCCAGTTTATACCTCTACCCTCTTTTATTATTATCCTTGTTCTCATTTATATTTCATAATTCAGCTGAGACAAATATCCTTATTTAATATGTTCTATATGCTTGGTTATATCTCATTCCCTGTTATGTAAGTGTTGTTATTATATAAAGGGAAACAAAAAAGGGATATAAAAGGGATATGAGTATATCATATAATTCCTAACTTCCTTAAGATTCACCAGAATAATTACAATACCAAACATTCTTGGGATAATCCATTTTTTTCTTTTAATTGATCTCATGCTTGTTGTTCAATAAAACTTCCTAGTATTAACAGTCACCTGCGCAGTGTATAAAAATTCACTGATCAATTTTTGTGCACATGTACTTGTAAACTTCTAAAAACGTTTCTGCCAGATTTGTGTGCAAAAAATCTTGACCTCTTGTGCAGAGATTTGTCAATAAGTACAGAGATGATAAGTATACTAATGGTACAATAAGATATTAAACCCTAAAATTCTTGGTAGATTATTGATTGGTAAAATAATTTGTCAAAATTCAAAATTAGGCAATTAATATTAGTTACCATATTTGGTAATGTAGAGAAATTATCTTTTAAATTCACTATTACTAATTTGGCAATTAGGATTATTTGCATTTTCATTGTATTATTGATCTTTTTATTAGAAAGTTTGGTGATAATATTATTTATTATCTTTTATCAATGGTGTATAATGATTATTATTATATTATATTTAATTTTTATCTAAGAATGTTATCTTTAATTATGATCATACTTTCCAGGAAGTCTATAAGTTCCCATACAATATAGAGATTATAATATTATTTATTACATTTATTACTTACATGATCTATATTTGTATTTTAAGAATTGTAATTTTATTATTTAAAGAAACTAAATTCAAATAAAATTAAGAAACTTTTTGTAATTTAACAACCATTAAATTACCTATTCATTAACATTGTTAAATAATTAGTGATAATTATTTGAACGTTTACAACACCAATGTTCACTTTGTCTGGTTTTGTTGCAGCATGCCCCATATACTACAAATACAATTTCTTAAATAGGAATAAATGCATAGGTCTTGGGGAAATCCTTGCTCCTAGTAAAAACAAATGAATGAAGGTATTTTTTTCTTACACAGAAAATAACTATTTTAAAAATATGTAGTATTTTTACATCATAATTTA